CTGGGTGACCCTGCTTCGGCAGGGGGGTTGGACTAGATGACCCACAGAGGTCCCTTCCAACCCCTACTATTCTGTGATTCTGTGGCTTCCAGGCCAGCACAACGCAGTGCTCCGAAATAACGGTCTGCTCGCCTCCACAAACCGTGCCGTGCAGCCGCAAAGAGCTGCCCATCAGGCAGCCGAGACCTTCCCAGTGCCGGAACACCGCCGAGATCCCAGATTAACTCCTCCTCCTCTGACACACAGCTCCGCACAGGTTTCGGGAACGCTGTAGTAAACCATGACAGAAGGCAGTCACGGGCTTTTGGCCGAAAGCCCTCCAGATACAGCTCCTGTGTGCAGAAGCACAAGAGCCCAGGCATATACGTACTGCCTAGCCCTTCTAGGAAAGAAAACCCACGCTGGAACTATCCGTGTCGTCGTGTCCAAGCCTGATGCGGGGAGGTTCTCCTTCCCCTCTACACTGCCCTGGTGAGGCCCCATCTGGAGTACTGTGTCCAGTTCTGGGCTCCCCAGTTCAAGAAAGATGAAGAGCTACTGGAGAGAGTCCAGCGGAGGGCTACAAGGATGATGAGGGGACTGGAACATCTCCCCTACGAGGAGAGGCTGAGGGAGCTGGGCTTGTTCAGCCTGAAGAAGAGAAGGCTGCGAGGGGACCTAATAAATGCTTACAAATATCTGAAGGGCGGGTGTCAGGAGGATGGGGCCAAGCTCTTTTCAGTGGTGCCCAGTGACAGGACAAGGGGCAATAGGCACAAACTGAAGCACAGGAAGTTCCGTCTGTCCAGCCCCGCCGGCCCGCGGTGCGGTGCAGCCTGCTCTGGGTGACCCTGCTTGGGCAGGGGGTTGGGCTGGGTGACCCACAGAGGGCCCTTCCAACCCCTGCTATTCTGTGATTCTGTGACAAATCCTGGTAATTTTATCAGCTCTTCAGCAGACACTCGGAGAGGAAACCCCAGTGCTGCCTGCTCCCTGCCAGTTCTGGGGTCAGGCCCTGGCCCCGAGCAAAGCCAGTCCTGAAAACACAATCACGGCATGGCCAGAACACGCACCGTAAAACACCAACATGCTTTCTCTACAAACAACCGTAGGCCGTGTTGGGGGGCTCATGTAAGAATGTTACTCACAGCTCGTTCTTCCTTACCCACAAGTGCTCCAGGTAAATGTCATTCAGTCGTGTTTCTGCTGTCCCTAGCAGTGACCAGAAGTGTCATGGTGACAAGGGAAGATTCAGTGGCCAACACAAGGATTTTCAGAAACTTGTTTCAGGAGTTTTGGCAAGTATTCACTCAGTGAAGGAGCACAACCTGACCTCATTAGTGTATTAATAGTGCATGCCTGGCACTGGGGCAATGACTAACGCTTAATTTAAAATACAAAGGTATTTTAAATATTTAGGGGAGTGGAGGAGAAAATATGATGCAAAAGAATTTCTGTAGCAAGTTGTGCTTGGTTCTTTTAGCAGTTGTCAGTGAAATAAGCCTTTAGCTCTGGCAGATCTTTCCCAACACCAGCTCCCATAACACATGCACACAGAGCGCAGGGGAGAAAGCGGAGAAAAGGCTCTTGTTTCTTAAGCAAATGAACTTTCACTCTAACAAACACTCCTAGAAAAGAGTTGAGAGAGCTGGAATACCCACTGCATATAAACAGGCTAACACATAGGTTGCTCTCCATAAAAAGTTTTTCAAAGCTGGCACTGTGAAATGCCAGTGGGAGAAGGTTAATCACTGTTAGTATGAAGAAGTTTGATTTTAAGATTCCTTCAGTATCGGGCATCCATAGGTTTACTAGGAACCAGGTGAACACTTAAAACAAAAATATGCCTCTCAATAGCCACATTAAACTGTCCTATGAAATTTCTACCTTCAATTACACCGCCAGAACTATCCTAATTATTCTGTTATTCATGATTTGAAGAAAAGCTGTTTACTCGAAGGGACAGTGTAACACACATTGTCTCAAGCCCACAAGCACAGAGCAAACACTGCGAGGGACCGCGGGCTACTGACAGCCTCGCTTCTCACCACTTCTCTCCAGAGGAATTCAGAAATTTCACATTTACAGCCTCAAGATAAAAAGCATGTCCAGGCAGTGTCATGTGAAGTATCTACAGTCTAACACAGACCAAACATCTTCTCCACTGCTTCCTGCCTTTGGAAAGGACTACAGCTCAGAAAGAAAAGGGAGTTATTTCTGAAGACGAGAAACCGACTCACCTGATCGTACACAAATCTGGGACATTCCCAAGAGAACCATAACTTTCCAGCTGCCGTAAGGAAACTCCAGGTACAACTACTTACCACGAGGGATGAGACAGCAGCAAGGCAACTAACAGAACACCCTAGCTGCCCCGAGCGGGGACGGGAAGGCAAGAGCCTGAGGATTTGGGTTGGTCACTGCTGTTTAAAGCACTGTGGCTGGAAGCAAAGGAAGAAGTCAGAACAAAATATCAGCTTTGAAAAGAGATACGGCCCAGCTCACATGACAGCAGCCCGGGGCCCGCTGACACCGACGGGACGGCGTGTCCTGCGCGGAGCTGTCAGCCCGGCTATTCTGGGCCACGGGCAAGCACACGCCGTGGGCAGACTGGAGGGGGGATCCCCGGGAAGGGGATTCACGCAGGGTCTTCAAATAGCAGCTGGCAACACAAGGCACTTCTTATGTCAGAAAAGGTACACAGACTGCACAGAATTGGAATTCCACACAATTCCACAGCAGGCTGGAGATTTTCTCTTTTAAAAGGTCTAACCACAGAACCAATCTGGCAATTATATTCTTTAACTTGAAAATGCTGCGCAAAGAACATGACAGTGTCCGGTCCAACTGCTCAAAACCAGTGACTTTCACCCCCGTTGCAGAGACCGGCTCTCCCCTGAGGAAGTGACTGCGTTTTGAGCTACACTGTACTAATCCTGAAGCGAGTCTGGGTATTAGCTGCAACATGTTACGTAGGAATTATTTTAGACTACCAAAGCAAACCACAAACACAAAGAAATGTTTAAATCTTTTTCGCCACCCCTTACTCCATCGCTCCATTCCGGCCACACAATCTGTGCACTAAGTTATCTCACGGAATCCAGCAGCTACC